GAGAATCCATAAACAGGCTCACACATATGATAGGTGACACTGCAGTGTAGAGGAGAAAGGACAGCCTTTTCAGTAAACGGTGCTGGGCCAATTGGATGTCCATATGGACAAAAATGAATCTTGACCCACCTCATTCCATGTACAGAAATTAATCTAGATACACCATACAGCGAAATGTGAGCGCTAGCTCAAGAAAGCTTCTGGAAGAACGCGAAGTGAAGTATCTTTATGACCCAGGGACAAAGGTTTATTGAATGGGCCACAAAAAGCACTAATTATAAATGGAAATATTGGTAAGAACCTGTGCTCATCTAAAGATCCCATAAAGAGAGTGAGAAGGCGTGCTACAGAATGGGATACATAGATCCAACAAAGAACTCATACCCAGAATGTGGAAAGAACGTCTACATTATCAAAAAGATGGACAGTCAAATAGAAACATGGCAGGTCACTTCAGAAAAGAGCATCTCCACATTCCCAAGGAACGTGAAAAGGTGGCTAACCTCATTAGTCATCAGGGAAAGGCTAATTAAAACTACAATGAGATACCAGTATATGCTCAGCAGAGAGGCTAAAATGAAAGAGGCTGTCGACGCTCAGTGCTGGTTAGGATGTGACAGACTGGAGCGCTCATTGCTCATGGGCATGGAAATTAGTATAACTGTTTTGGGAATTGTGCTGTCACTTACTGAAGCTGTACATACACATCTATGACCCAGCTCCTCCATTCTCAGGTAAACGCCCAACAGGAAGGCCTCCGGGAGTCATGTAAAACTATGCAGAACAGTGTTATTCATAGTGGCCCCAAGGTGGAGCAGCCCACGTGTTCATCAGTAGTAGGGTGGATAGAAGCCTAAATAAATTGTTTACACAATGCAACACTCTACAGTAATGAGAGTGGACAGACTACTGCCTCACACCCAACGTGGATGAACTTCACAAACCCAGAGCTAAGCAAAAAGACACAGCGGAGGAAGTTCTATGTGATTCCACTTACGTGAAGTTCAAAAACGGGCAAAATTAAATAAACCAGGGGGATAAATGTCAGGCGAGTGGTCAGGACTTAAAGGAAAGGACAGAAGGGGCTTCAGGCATTTAATTTTTAATCTGAGCGGTGACTACTGGAGTGAGTCCGCTTTTTGAAAACCTTACACTTTTTTCTTTAAGTATATTTTAATACAGACTTTACTTAAAATATTGTCAACTATTTGGTTCATTCAGATGCTCCTAATCTGGGGAGTCTAAGGTGATGGGCATAATTCTTGGTGATGCAAGAGGTTTAAAACAGGCTGAGAATTTTCAGGGGAAAGAATACAGTATCACATCCGTGGCTCTTCTGATTGAGGGATTTGTAAAACTGACTCCTTATCGCCAATCTTCAGCAGCACACATCTGGCTTAAGGGCGGTTCATATAAAAAGACTTAGAGTTATGTTTGATGTTAAGATTAATATCAGTGTGAGGCAGAAGCCAAAAAAAAAAAAAAAGCTAAGGTGAGAACTGAATACAACGTTTTGTTTTCAGATTTAATTTTCTTGCAATTGAACTTTATAACAATTGGATTAAAATAGTCTGATGTTTTATATAGATCCTTTCAGTTAAGGAGTTTCCTCTCACGAGGCAGGGACGGTGCATTAGTTCCCTGTTGCTTCCTAACAAATGACCACAGACTTAGTGGCTTAAGCCGGCACAAACGTATTTACAGCTCTGGAGGTCAGAGTCCAAGTGGGTGTGCAGGGTGCATTCCTTCTGGAGGCGGGGGGTGGGGGTGAGAGGTCTGTTCTGTCGATGCTTTCCGATGCCTTCTGCATTCCTTCGTCCCTGGAAGCCCATCACTCTAACCTCTGCTCCCATCATGACCTCTTCTCTGTCTCCGACCCTTCTTCCTCCCTCTGAAGGATCCTTGTGACTACATTGGGCCCACGTGGATAATCAGGGATAATGTCTCTATCTCAAGATCTTTAACTTCATCACATCTGCAAAGTCCCCTTGCCGTGTATGGTAATCTATTTACAGGTTCCGGGGATTAGCCCATGGACATTTCTGGGGAGTCATATTTGGAGGAAGCTCACAGATAAAATTTTTACACTTTATCTCCACAAAGAGCAGTTCTTGATTTTCAGTAAGAGCTCATTAATATTTGTTGAAGAAATGAGTGTAAGATTTTATTATTGGAAGTATAGTTTCTGAAAAAAGAGAAGTGAGATCTTACCCTCCTCTCACTCTGCCACATCTGGAGTTCTGGGTTCAGCTCTAGGTACCTGTATGGTAAAGGGACAGCTGACAGAATGGTAAAGGGCCTGGGAACCAAGTCATTGAAAAAATGGTTGAAGGCATTGTGGATGTTTGTCCTGGAAGAGGGCTTGGGATGAAGTGGGTGGCACTAATTATCTTTAAATATTTGAGGGAGTATTATTAAGCCTTTTTAGAGTAATATCGATAATATTTAAAACAATAAGAATACACATTTCATAGCTTACTATGCCCAACACACTATATTTTGTAAACTCATTAATTCTCACAGCAACCCTCTGAGAGTTGCTATTTTCCCTGCGTTACAGATGAGGAAATTGTGGCACAGAGAGGTTATGCAACTTGACCTAGGGCACACAGCTAGGAAGTAGCAAATCTGGGATTCAAACTTTGGCAGTCTGACTCCAGTGTCATCCTCCAAACCATCACATTATCCTGCCTCATGCCTTTAGTTCCAGAAGGTGCAATAGGACTAGTGGCAGAAGGTTTTTTAGAAACAGAGGGCCAGACTTGGACTTAGTTTAAGGAAAAAAACCAGGGCAAGAATCAGAACTGCTTAGAAGCATAGTTTCCCTTCCTTTTGAAGTTCCTGGAAATCGCCCAGCAGGTTATTGTCAATGGGATTCCCAGATCCGTTGGAGATTAGACGAGATGACAATAAGGTCCCCACTGATTTTGAAACTCTGATTTGGGAGCACAATTATTTTTTCATTTTCTCTCTCTCCCTCCCTCCCTCTCTGCCCCCCTTTTGACATTTTATATAATAAAGGCCCATTGTGAAATGTAGTTTTTCCACTAACTTTCCAGATTTGATTTATCAGGAACTCTGACGTTCTGGTGTGGTAGGCCATGTCCCCGCCCCCCTTTTAAGGGGCCACTGCTGCTCCTCCCCTAAAGAGATGGAATCTCTTCTCTCCTCCCTCTTGAATCTGGCCTGGCCTTTTGATTTGCTTTGACCAGCAGAATGTCCTGTGAATTCTGAAGCCTGGTCCTCAGCGACCTTGCACCTCTTGCTTTTGTTCTTTTGAAACCCTGAAGCCACCGTGCTGTGAAGGCGCTAGACTCCTGGAGGATGAGTGTCCACATGGAGGAGTGACGCAGGTGGCACCAAATGCCAGACGTGTGGGCGAGGTCATCTTGCTGCCCCTGCCCCCCTCCCGTCCCCTTTGAGCCATGGTGTGACTTAGTCATAAGTGATGCCAGGTGAGATCAGCAGAAGTGCCTAGATTGCCATCCCACAGAATAAAGAGGAAGGACAGGCCTATGTTTTAGCCACTGTGTTGGGATGGCTTCCTATGCAGTGACATGTAATATGACATTTCGGTGCATATATTGAAGCAGCGGTATGCTAAAATATTCTGTAATTCCACTTTTTGCCCAGTTCAGCAGACCTCCTCTGATCTGTCCAATGATTCTTCTGGGTTTGGAGAAGTGTTGCCCCTTAGTATTATGTGAGTAGAAGAATGAGACTCTTTCTAAGACTCTTTAATAGGGTTTGGAGAAAACTGAGATGTTAGAAGACATGATGTGTCTAGATTTGGGTTTTCTGGCAAAAGTCATGTAATTCACATTCTGTAGAATAGGTTTCAGTTTCATTAAATTGGACCCTGGAAAAGAGCAAAAGTCTCAGCAGTTTTTTTGAATGTGCTAGAAGATTGCCCTGCCATTTCATTTTCTCCAAAACCGCCGTCATTTCAGTGGGCACGAGCTCCTTTGCTTTTATTGCTTCGTGGTTTCCAGAATGCTCATTTGTTCCTAAATTTAGAACTATTTCAGTTTTACTCAGCCCTTATCTCTATGTAACTGCTGACTTTCCCCTCTTATATCTGAGCTCAATTGGTTTGGTTTAATTGATCTTGAGTAAATCTTTTAAGGAATGTACGAGTTAGGCATTTCATGTGTATTTTTATTACATTTAGTTAATTTTCAGTTTTTCTTTGCTTCTTAAGGGGGTATCTAAATTATACATAACAAATTCTTTTGCTTTTATGTAGCTTATATTACCTTCTAACTTTCCTGATGGATTGATTTCATCATAGATGTTGGGAAAAAATGAACCTGATGCCCTCTGTAAGAAGAGGGAGGTGGCTGAGGGAAGGCTCTGGAGTTACACTTGGTAGGTATGAACCTCAGCTCAGATGCTTACTAGCTGTGTGATTTGGGGCAGGTTTCTTGACCTTTCTGGGCCTGGGTTTTTTCTTGTGTTAAATGAGGATACCAGAATGACTAACCTCAAAGAATTGTCATGAAGATTAAATGAGGTGATGCTTGTGAAGTGCTTTCTTGGCATAGGTAATCTGTAAATAGTACTTATTATAGTAGAGGCTGGAGATGATTTGTGCTTTGCTTTTGCTCAGGCTTTTGAAGCTATTTTTAATTCATGGAGCAATTTGTACTCCCTTCTTGCTAGATCACATGCCCTGTGCTAGGTGCTGGGGACTCAGAGACCATGGTCCCTGCTCCCTAAAGGTCCACTCCATGGGGACAGATAGGTGTGTCAGGCAGTGAGGACAGAACTGTCTGGTGTACACTATGATGGGAGGCAGATGGGGCTGCAGGAGCTTAGACGGAAAGAACGGCCCACCTGGACTGCTGGGTGCGTGTAAGGTAACTGGCAGGAGGTCGTATCTGTATCACCCTGAATAGTGACGGGTCCCTGGGAGAACTATTAAAGTGACTGGTGGTAATGTTCTGTGCTCTAGTGTCACGTCCATGGCTTAATGTTTTTATTTCTATTTCTCTGTCTAGAAACTCTCAACTTGGGCATCAGGACCTTTTGCCACAAGAAGCAATGCTACCCCGATGGGAACTGTCTTTTTACGTGCTTGCTTCACTAGGCTTCCACTTCTATTCTTTCTATGAAGTTTACAAAACCTCCAGAGGTAAGTCCCCACTTTTCTGAACTTGTATCCAGAAATGAAGGTAGGAGGGAGTGCTCAGAGGTGGAAGATTCAGGAAGATGGTCTCATGCTCTTGGGATGAGTTGGGCCCCACTTTGCTTTCCCCTTTTCTTGGACAGTTTGACTCAATGGCCTGAGTCAGTGGCGTTTTCCACCCTAATCCTGAATCTTTTAGGTGATCCTGTGGCTAGTGTTTTGTAATAGGAGGGTTTGATTCAATGGCTATTGAAGGCCACGAGGATATTTCCATTCATAATTCGCAGTAACCTCTGACATTTCTCTCTCACCATCACTCCTTGCAGACATCTGTAGGCACCTCATGGTGTTGGAGGCCCAGACTCCTTTCCTCTTCTTGCTCCTCTGTCTTTAGTACTCTTGTGTGTATTTTGAAGAGGAGACATCACCAAGTCAACATTCCAGCCCACTGGAAGAAGATTTGGAACCCTCCTTTCCTTTAAGGGCAGCTTGACTAGGTACCCTTATGACTTCTCACATCCAGTTGGCCAGAACTGAGTTTTGTGGCCACAGCCGGGAGGCTGGGAAATACTGTCTTTAGTTTGGTGGCCATATGCTACTTAAGGAAGAACAGGAGTCAGCCAGATGAGAAGGGCAGAGGATCTGTGGACAGAGATGAGTTTGCAGGCAAGTGGATAAGTGTGTGCAGTGCCACTGGGTGTGAGAAAACATAGCATGATCTGGTTACTACAAACCACTCACTAGGACTGGAGTGTAGAGTGCAAAGGGAGAGTGGCAAGAATTGAGCTTAGATAAAAAAGTAGGGATAGAGTGTGAAAGATCTTATATATTCAGCTGAGGAGCTAAGGCTTTCTCTTAAGGCAGGGGAATCTGTAGTTGTGGTCACTTAAAATGGCAAACGTAGGGTTTGGAAAGCACAGCTGAGAGTGCTTGGCCCTCAGCCCCCACCTCCTTATGCATTGCCAGGATTAACTTTTCTCCCACTCTACATATGTCTCTCTCAAAGCCATGGGTGTGGGTGCCGAGACTGATCATCTAAAGTAGATGAGGAGTGTTGTTGGGTCAAGGCATCATTCCCCGTCTGGAGCCTCTGAGCTCCCAGGGCCCATGTGGAAAGAGCTAACCTACTCTGTGTCTAAGCATTTTATGTAATCTACTCTATATCTAGGCATTTTATGTCTCCTTCAATCTTTAGAACAGCCCATTGAGATGGTATATTATTTAGAAGACAGGCTAGGCTGCAGAAACAACCTCCAAAAGAACTGTGGTCCAGGGCTGGTAATGAATAAAGATGCTATAAACATCTGTGTGCGGTATCCTGTGTGGACTTAAGTTTTCAGTTCTTTTGAGTAAGTACCGAGGAGCAATGGTTGAGTTGTATGGTGACAGTATTTTTAATTTTATAAGAAACTGCCAAACTGTCTTCCGAAGTGGCTGTGTCATTTTGCATTCCCACCAGCAATGAATGAGTTCCTATTGCTCCACATCCTTGTCAGCACTTGATGTTGTCAGTGTTCTGTATTTTGGCCATTCTAATAGGTGTGTAATGGTACCTGATTATTTTAATTTGCATTTCCTGGTGACATATGGTGTGGAACATCTTTTCATAGGCTTATTTCCCATTAATATATCTTCTTTGGTCAGGTGTTTGTCAAGTTTTTGGCCAGTTTGTAATTGGGTTGTTCATTTTGTTATCCTTGAATTTTAATAGTTTTTTGTTGTTGCATGTTTTGGATAACAGCCCTTTATCAGATAAGTCTTTTGCATATATTTTCTTCAGGCTGTGGCTTGTCTTCTCATTCTCTTGACAGTGTCATTTATAAAACAGAAATTTTAATTTTAATAAGTCCAGCTTATCAATTTTTCCTTTCATGGATTGTGCCTTTGGTGCTGTATCTAAGAAGTCGTGATAGCCAAGGTTATCTAGAGTCTTTTCTATGTTATCTTCTAGGAGTTCTATAGTGTTGCATTTTATATTAAGATCTATGATACTCATTTTTGAGTTAATTTTTGTGAAGGGTATATAGACCATGTCTGGATTCATTTTTTGGTATGTGAATGAACAGCCATGGAATGGTGTTCCAGCACCATTCGTTGAAAAGATTGTCTTTCTCCATTGTATTACCTTTGCTCCTTTGTCAAAGGTTAGTTGATTATATTTATGTGGGTCTATTTCTGGGATTTCTGTTCTGTTTCATGGATCTATTTGTCAATTCTTTCACCAATACCACATGCTTTTGAGTATTGAGGCTTTATATTAAGTCTCAAAGTTGAGTGGTATTAGTTTGCTGACTTTGTTCTTCTCCTTCAATATTGTGTTGGCTAGTGTGGATCTTTTGCCTCTTCATATAAACTTTAAAATCAATTTGTCAATATCCATAAGATAGCTTGCAGGGATTTTGATTGAAATTGCACTGAATCTGTAGATCAAGTTTGGAATAACTGACATCTTAACAGTAGTTCTTCTTTGATTTCTTTTATCAGAGTTTTCTAGTTTTCCTCATATAACTTGTACATATTTGCTAGATTTATACTTAAGTATTTCATTTTGGGGACAGCTAATATAAATGATACTGTGTTTTTAATTTCAAATTCCACTCGTTCATTGCTGATGCATAAGAAAACAATTGACTTTTGTATATTAATTTTGTATCATACAGCCTTGCTCTAATTTGTTATTCCAGAGATTTTTGGGGGGTCAGTTATTTGGATTTCCTTCATAATAGTCATGTTATCTGCATACAAAGACAGTTTTATTTCTTCCTTTCCATTCTGTGTATGATTTATTTTGTTTTCTTGTCTTATTGCATTAGTTAGTACTTGCAGCATGATATTGAAAAAGCGTGGTGAGAGGGACATGCTATCCTTTTTCCTTAGCGAGAAAGCTTCTAATTTCTCATTATTAAGTATAATGTTAGCTGTAGATTTTTGTAGATGTTCTGTATCTAGTTGAAGAAGTTTCCCTCTATTTCTAATTTGCTGAGAGTTTTAATCATAAATGAGTGTTGGATTTTGTCAACTGGTTTTTGTGCATATATTGATATGATCGTATGATTTCTCTTTCTTAACCTATTGATGTGATTGATTTCACTGATTGATTTTTGTGTTTGGTGAGACTTTGTTTTTAATAAACCTGGACTTGACTTAGCTGGGCTGTTCTTTTGTTTCATGTGTTGTTACCTGGGGCTGTCATATGGTGACTCCACTGGGCTGAGATATCCACGACAGTTCACTCACATGGCTGGCTGTCAGCCAAAAGTTCAGCTGGGGCCTGTCAACTGGAGTGCTGTGGTTCTTTCTAAGTAACTCTCCACATGGCTTACATTTCTCATAACAGGACAGCTGAGTTCCAAGAGGGAGTGTTGCAAGTACACAAAACTAGGGGCTTCAGATCTCTTAAAGCCCAACCTGGGAAGTTGTGTGGGTCCCGTCTGCCTCATTTATTGGTTAAAGTAAATCACAGGGCCAATCAGATTTAAGGGAAGGAAAGACTATACCTCTTTATGGCTGGAGTAGAGCGTATGTACAGGGGATTGGTAGTGGCTATCTTTGGAGTCTCTCTACCACAGTTGGTGTTATACTTTACCCAGAGGAGGATACCGAGGCTGAAAATATAACTTGTCCAAGTTCACACATCAAATAAATAATAGAACTGGGTTTAAACTCTAGTTCCAATATTTCATTCTATTCTGCCACTCTTGTATTTATAGATAATTTAATTTCCTAAAGTACCTTGCTTTAAAGGTGAAGCCCTTTTGTCTATTCTACTATTAAACTTTAAAATTTGCCCAGCCATTGTTGCTGAGTGGTTGAGCATCAACCCATGAACCAAGAGATCTGGGTTCGATTCCCGGTCAGGGCACATACGTGAGTTGCAGGCTCAGTCCCCAGTAGGGAGCGTGCAGAAGGCAGCTGATCAATGACTCTCATCATTGATGTTTCTATCTCTCTCTTCTCTCTTTGAAATCAATAAAAAATATATTTAAAAAAAACGTTAAAACTTATCCCACTGGAATTAAATTTTTCCTTTCTGAGTCACGGTAGCTACAGGGATGGGGTGGGAGGAGATCCTTCTGTGGCTAGTACAACATTTTTCTGGTCCTCAACTGATTCAGAGGCTCTCATGCTGTTTGACTCATTACTCTTCTCTCCCGAGCCTAAAGCTTCTTTATCTTTTATGCTTTTTCTTTTAATGTCCGTGCCAAAGTGTTTGGCCACATCCCAAGAAATGTCTTATTTCTAATGCTTTTGCCAGTTCAGCTCATGGAAGCCGGTCTACCTGCCTGGCCAAAGTGTATGTGTAGCTGGTAATGTTGAATTCTGGTTCCATGTCTTACTTTCTAATTCAGGAAAAAGTGCTATTTTCTCGCATTACAGATGTAGGTCACTGGGAAATTACTCTTCTGTCAACTCTTTGGGGACATTTGTATCTGGAGCAAATACAGGGCCTAGAACATACTAGAGGCTCAAAACTTATTTGTTAAGTGAACTGCTGCCGGTGGGCGTCTGCACAGCTGCATTCTCAGGGCGTGGAGCTTGTTCACTGCTCCCTCCCATCAGCAATGGCATGGTGGTCGTCGGGCCCTTAGGGACAGCACACTGAAGTTAAGAGCCTTAGTCAAATGGAACCTCTTGGTAAATCCACAGCAGGGACTGAACAGAACAGCCCTTGTTCCTCCCAACTCTACCAAGCACAGAGCATCTCAAAGGCACATGGAAATACTTGGGGCAGTGGTGCTGCTGTGCCTGCTGGCCTCTCCTTGTGTGCCCTGCTTGCAGTATTGTGGCTGGTCCAAACCTACTGCTTTAAGCTTGTGCTTTATGATTTAGCAGAGGTAGAAACACTTCTCTTTCTCCCTGCTTACACTTAACCTGAGGAGAGGTATGGTATGCCATGCGGTGACCCGGAAAGAATTAATGCCTCTGCCTACAGGAGGGCCTTGTATTCTTGTGTTTCCATCCATTTAGTGCAGTTCTTGGAATGAAAGCAGTTGAGTTCTCATCAGTGAAAACCCGGAGAAGCATCTGCAAGGGGAAGCCTTAGACTGCTGTTTCTATTTACTGTCTATTGGCTTATACTGAGATTTTCTATTTTTTGCAGGCCCACCAGTAACTCTGGAAGGAGGGGGTGCAGTTCAGGGTGGGGAGACAAAGGCTGCTGGTCCTGGCCTTGAGTAGGTGACCTTGGCCTTGGAACCAGGTGAGCTGGCTGACTGTGGGCTGGGCCACCTGGGGCCCTTCAGTTTACTGTCCTTTGTGGAAGGGCCCAGTGCACAGCCCCTGCAGGAGTCCAGGGCTGGACAGACTGTCTTGATGGCCAGATTAAGAGGAGGTGCTGGGGCACAGCTGAGGCTCTGAGCGAGGGTGTGCTTGTATAACTTCATGCTATGTCTGACCCTGTTTCTCTTGTTGCCTGTGGCCAGGGTCATAGGAGACAGCAGTGTTATTTACAGTAGCCTTCCTCCTGGGTTTCCAAGTCTCGCACCCCACCCTTCCTTTCGGGCTCTCCCTGGCAGTTTCCTCCTATGTCCACATGGTGCTCAGGGGAGGGGAGTGTTGGCTTTCAGGAAGTCAGCTTTCTCAATGCTTTCAATAAACTCTCACAATGACCTGGGCCAGGGCCCGGGCTGCAGGGCACTGGGAGGCAGCCCTAGTGTTAGACTTCGGAGCTCCTCACTCCCTGCTCCCCCAGCCAGTGCTCCACGTTCCATCAAATACAGGGACCGTGCACAGGGCTACGGCTTCCTCTTTGCTTAGTTTCCATCTCAGTCGGGGGCATCTTCCTGCCCCGGGCGCCCTCAGGGCTCTCATGCTAATGGCACTCCTGGCCGGCTGCCTCGACAGACCCAGAATCCCTCAGGTGAGTCGCAGAAGAGCAGCCCTATTAGGGAGGCTTGAGACCATTTCTGTCCTTTATTGCCTGGCATCCTGTTTACATATATAGTTTCCTTTTACTTGGGGGATTTCTAAATCGCTTTTTCATTCCCCGAGTGGCAGTTGGGAGACAGGAGGAGGGAAGCAGCCCCCACATCTCAAGAACCAGCCCCTTATCCCTCCCCTATGTGGTATTTTATAGGAATATTTGAGAGTTGCTCACCATTCCATTTTCTCTTCTTTAGAAGCCTCTTTTTCTGCTCCCTTTCTCTACTCTCATTTACTACCACAGTCTTATGTACCCACAGGCTTTCTAGAAAACTAAAGAACCAGTCGGAGCTGATTAGAAGTTTTCAAATGCATAGAAGCAGCAGGACGCTTAAGCCCCGGTTGGGTTGCTACTCCCGGGCAGAGACTTGTATCACAGGAGGCCATCTGAGTGTGTAACGTCCTCTCTCACCGATCACTGCCCCCCAATTACCCTACCCCACCCCAGAACCGATTTCCCATGAAAATGTTGCGGGCGAAAGGGGTAGGTTAGTTAGAGCTTTTAAGTAAATGGTTTACCACCAGAGCCCATTGGCAGCGATTAAAATGCAAATTCTCTCACTCAGTAGGTAGAATGGGGTTTTGATGGATCCTTTTGTTGGGGGGTAGTTGGAGAGAGAATCAACAGCTGATTCAGTAACGAAGGCTCAACTGCAGAACCTGTTTCATTTCTACGCTCTCAGGCACTTCTGTGCAGCACTGAGTTTTGGGAAAATGGAACCAGGGCGCCTACAGTGAGGCCTCTGTGGTGGGGAGAAAATATCTCAGGCAGAGAGGGCTCCCCTGTCTCCGCAGCATCCTCTTGCTTAAGTGTAATATGTGAGTTACAATGAAAACTGGTCTCCCAAAGAGCGAGAGCATGAAATCCCTACTTAGAAGGTATAATCAGGGAACTTCTGAGGGCCTGGGCTCTTTGGGGAAGGAGCTCCTGCTGCAAGTCTCACCCTCTGTTCTCCTGTGTCAACCGAATTCCGTAGCAATGCATTTTTGGCCAACTCAAGACATTGATTTCCTAAAGGGTTGTGAATGGATTTATATTGCAATTTAACATGTACGTTGTATAGCATTTGTTTGTGTCGAGAAATCAGACAAGGGTGATTTGTAAAAATTCTCCAAAACCCGAGGGGGAATTTTGGTCTAGAGCTATGCTGTCCACTGCTGTAGTCATTAGACATGTGGCTAATGAGAACTTGAAATGTGGCCACTTCAAGTTGAGATGTGCTGTTAGGATAACATGCTCATTGGACTTTGAAGAATTAATTAGTAAGAAAAAGGAATGTAAAGTAACATTCCTTTACATCCACAATTGTTTAATATGGATTCCATGTTGAAATAATGTTTTGGATATATTGAGATCAATAAAATATACTAAAATTAATTTCATTTTTCAAAAACTTTAAAAAAATGTGACTACTAGAAACTTTAAAATTATAAATGTGTGGGAGATAGTCTTTCAGCTGGACAGCGCCTCCTGCTGGACAGGATTGCGTCATAATTCCCCTGTCAGCACAGAATTTCTTTTTCCCACTAGAGGGAGGTGTGCTCCAGCTTCAGGAAGTCTGGCCTTAGCATGTGAACTTCACTGCTTATGAATGTACTCTTTTTAAAAAGGAGGAAGAAAGAACTCAAGTTTCTGCCTTGTTTCAGTTCTTTATAATTCTGTGACGTCTGGAGGTTGCTCTGTGTATGAAAGTGAAGCCAAAACCGCAAAGTCAAGAAGCGGAGAGGTTTTCCACCCAGTTTGCATTAATGAATCCAGAGGTTCCTGTTACTTCTTTGTTGGATCCTAGTAGCTTGCTGATTGCTTGCAAGCTGTTCCCTAGGCTTGAGGCTGTGCACGTGCACACACACACACGCACACACACACGCACACAGTGTGGAGTGTGTGCAGCTGTAACAGAAAGGACCAGGGGCCTGCTGCAACCACACACACCTCCACACACCTCCTGGGTCACGTGGAATGCAATGTGAGTGTGTGGCAGAGCTGTGCCATGCGGCCCCCTGGCACAGTGCTCAGGACCCCTCCCTTTTCTGTCGCTCCTGGGACAGTGTTCAGCCTTTGGCTTGAGGTTGGGCTGCTGTTTGCATCTAGTGTGTGTGAATCTGCCCCTTGGTTCTACTCTAGATCAGCATCATTTGATGATTGAGTTTTAGTAACACATTCCTTCTGGTTTTCCTTTGATCTTTCTGGGTAGCTCCTTTTGGTCTTCTGTGGTTTTTGTACTTCTGTTGGTCCAATAGCAGTGGTTTTTCCTTGTTCTGAGCACTTTTATGTACACTCTGTGCCTTTTTGGGTGATGTCAACAGTTCTGGAGGCTTCATCACTACCCTTATACTGCGGACTCCTGAGTATCTTCAACTTAGGGCACTCTTGAACACCATGCATACCCACTATATATCACAGCTTCCTCCTATATATCACATGCACACCCCAAACTCACCCTCCATAGCTTCCTTATTTCTGTATCATTGGCACCATCAGCACTATTGGAATTTTTTTATTTTTCACTTGTCTCTCTTACCTAGTTAGTGCGCAGTAAGCCCCAGGAGGGCAAGAGACATGCCAGTCTTGTTCTGTAGCATTCCTAGTATCTCACACCATGCCTGGTTATTGTACACCCTCAAAAAGTATTTGAATGATAAAGGGACATTTGTAATATTAAAAAAAAAAGTATTTGAAGATTTTTACTATATCTTGTTTTAAACCAATTGTGTTGTTTGCCTTATAAACATACTTATTACTATGATATGATTCCATTTTATAATCTTGTTAGCATCATATCCTATCTTGAGGCTATGACCACCATCACTGTGTGGAATGGCCTGTTTAAAAATAGTTTTGCCCTGGCTGGTGTGGCTCAGTTGGTTGGAGTGTCGTCTCATGCACTGAAGGGTCATGTGCTCTACTCCTGGTCAGGGCATATACGCAGGTTGTGGGTTTGATTCCCAGCTGGGGTGTATGTGGGAGACAACTGAGCAATGTTTCTTTCTCACATAGATCTCTCTCTCCCTCTCTCTCTAAAATCAATAAAAACGTATCCTTGGGTGCCGATTGAAAAATATATATATAAAATTTTTTTTATTACCTATACAAGTGGGGCATTTGCACTAATCCCTCCTGTGGGCCCCTGTGCTGGAAGCTCTCTCTCCTTGGTGAGCCTTGTTACAAGCGGGAGGGCCGGTTCCAGCAGCCCCACCGTGTATTTCCAGGAACTTAGCTCACAGAAAATTGGAGAGGAAGAGCAAGGAGTGTGACATGTTTCCATGCCCGGAGCTCAGTCCCCAGGCGGCTTTTCCAGGACATATTCCAGTTTCTTTTAGCGCCTCTGCTATTAAACCACCCAGTTTATTTAGATCTGTGACTAATGGATACTGTTTTTCTTGTCAGAACATGAAGAACAATTGGACCAAGAATTTGACCTGGCGATTGGCACTTTGTTTGGAGGATTAAAGAAGGTACGAAGTGGATAAATGATAAACCTGTTTTCAAACCTAGTTTCAGTGTTCCTCATCGCTTTGCGCTGGCGTTGACCCAGGTACAGCAGTCATCAGCAGTGGGTAGCAGTGTCCTTCCTGCTGCACCAGGTGTGAACGCTGTGTTGAGTAAGGCCATTCCCCACGGTCTTCATCCTACGGTCCCCTGTTCTCTTCTCGAGATACCAGAAATCTGATTATCTAACCTGATCAGGTGACACAAATTTCACTCTCGTAAAGTTCAGGAACTTTCTTCCTGACCTTGCCATATCTATTAGAATTAAATGTGGCCCCTGACATCCCTAAACCGACTGTTGCCAACTATAGGAAACTTTTCCTTCCTGCCCCCAGGTGCCCTGCTGTCCACACTGCTGCAGGGCATCCTGGGAACCCACTCTCCCTCTCCCCCCTGGTTCTTCGGTAGCCTACCACATCTCAGACTCCACTATGACATGAAGCTTCCCAGATTTCCTCATCTCTGAAGTGGGCACAATACCACCTACCTCGCAAGTCCTACTACTAAGGGCTTATTTAAATAATAGTAATAATTAAAAAAACCACTCACACGTGATTCAGTGAATGAAAATTCAATCTACATGCAAAGCTTCGTGGAAATACCTGGTGGGTAGAGGAACAAAAGCCAGGAACCCTTCCTAGTCTGATGACAGTCCTCCAACATTTGATGATGTTAGAGTTTGGAGAATGGTAGCCCAAGTCAGGAATGCCTTTGAGCCTGGGTAAGTCCCTGTTACAGAGAAATCAGAAGCAACTGCAGGGAAGGGTGAGATCACGGGCCCCTGGGGGATGAGAAGGGTGGGTGCTGTCTGTGTGGGGACCTGCCTGAACCCCCTTCCAGCATGACAGTAGCTGCTAGGACACAGGTGCCTAGTAGTTATCCATCCTAATCTTACACCCCAGTTCCAGGAGAGCAAGTGTCAGGCCAAATCTTGTCATCTACGGAGACATCTGTCAGACCAACAGAAAGCAGTTCAGAATAACCTGCTCTATGCCCTCTGCGGGGTGCACCCACACCATGGGGTTGCCAGGATTACCTGGTTTTACTAAAACTACCCCAAAAAAGGGTTTTAAACATCTTTCTTTTGTGACTTTAAGGCTAGCCCTGCCAAAGCAAGGCCTCAAAAAATTGAGTATAAACTCAGAATTGTTCCTCTCCACGGAAATCTTTAGTAAAAGGCGAAAGATTTATGCGATCTGAAGAGAAACCAGAGTATGCCCCACCTCTTGCAAAGTCCCTTCTCCAGTAACTGCAACTCCTGGAGCGCTGATGGTGGCTCTTCAGCCCTGAGAGGTGCCTCCTGCCTTAAGTTTTCACAAGAAATTCTGGAAGTAAGTTTCTTGTACTTTGTACTTAGGAATGTCAAGTTAAAAAAAAAAGTCTTTTAAGCTTGAAAGGATTGTACTGTGTACAGGGTATTATGGGTATGCAAATGAGCCTGAGTCACCACCTTTGAGGTTCTATAAATACCTAGTCTTCCCCTAGTTCCTCTAGAGCCACCCTTAGGGGGCAGAGCAGAGGTCAGGCTGACCGGGCTCTAAATCCAACTCTGGTTTTACCCCTTCTGGGCACTGGGACTCTGGGCAGGGCTCCTCTCCCTCCCTGTTCCCTAACCACCAGCACAATTCAGATGCAGAACCACAGGGAGTTCCCTCTCCTCGCTTCTTTCTGGTCATCCCCACCCTCCCCTCCTGAACCCAGACCCGTGGAAGCCACTGTTTTGTTTTCCATCTCTTAATTTTGTTAGTTTGAGAATTGTTATAGAAATGGGGTCACAGGGCGTGTAAACTGGGGAGGCCGGCCCCGCCCCCAGCGTAATGCCCTCGAGAGCCATCCAAGTTCATTCCTTTTCATTGGGTAGCTGACCCTTGCTGTGGATGGGCCTCGATTTACCATTCGACCACCCACGAAAGGACATTTTGGTGGTTTCCAACTTTTGGCTATCATGAATAAACCTCCTGTGAATATCTGTGTGCAGGTTTTTGTGCGGACATAAGTTTCTAATTTCTCCGGGAGAAATGCCCAGGAGTCTGTTGGATTGCATAAGTATGTGTTTATTTCCATAAAAAATTGCCAAACCGTTTTCCAGAGTGGCTCTACCATTTCGCATTCCCACCAGCGACTCTGAGATACTCAGTTTTCCTATATACCGGCTGGCGTCTGGTGTTATCACCATTTTTAATTTTAGCTGTTCTGATCGGTGTGCAGTGATATCTCATCACGGTTCTAATTTGCATCTCCCTGATAGTTAATGATGTAAACATCTTTTCATGTGCTTTTTTGTTATCTGTGTATCCTCTTTGGTGAAACTCCATTCATGCCTTTTGCTCACTTTCTACTTGGATTGTTGGTGTGTGGGGTTTTTTTTTTGTTTGTTTGGCTTAGTTTGGTTTTTTACTGTTGAGGTTAGAGAGTTTTTAAAATTAGTGTAGATACTACTTCTTTATCAAATAGGTGGTTTGCAAATATTAGCTTGACTTTTCATCTTCTTAGGAAGGTGTTTCACAGAAGTCTAATTATTGATCCCCCGCCTTTATAGATTGTGCTTTTGCTGTCACGTCTAAGAACTCTTGGCCTAGTTGTATACCCAACGATTTTCTCCTATTCTTTTCCCCAAAAGTTTCAGTTTTGCATTTTACAGTTAAGCTTATGATCTATTTTGAGTTAATTTTTGTGTTAACTTAGGTAGAGGTTTCTTTATTTTATATTTTTTTTGCTTTTTGGATGGCCACTTGCTACAGCACCTTCTGTTGAAAAGACTGTTCCTCTTCCATTGAACTGTTCTTGCTCCTTTGTCAAAAATCAGTTGACCAGACATGTGTGGTTCTGTGTTTGGGTCCTCGTTGCTTTCTTTTGATTGATGTTTGTAGAGTCAATCTTTTTCCGTCCTTTTGCTCTCAACCTACCTACATTGTTGTATTTGAAGTGAATTTCTTGCAGACAGCATGGAGCTCCCAGGATCATTTCTTAAAAATCTGTTCTGCCAATCTGTCTTTTTTTTAATATATATATATGTGTCTTTATTGATTTCACAGAGAAGAAGGGAGAGGGAGAGAGAGAGAGAAACATCAGTGATGAGAGAGTCATTGATCGGCTGCCTCCTGCACGCCCCCAGCTGGGGATCAAACCCTCAACCCGAGCATGTGCCCTGACTGGGAATCAAACTAAGATCTCCTGGACCCTAGCACCCAGCAGGGCGCCAATCTGTCTTTTAATTGGTATCTTTAAGTTGATTTGGGTTCATTCGGCTTCTTGAATCTGTAGGTTTATGCCTTTTGCCAAATTTGCAAAATTGTTAGCCGTTATTTCTTTGAATATTTTTTTTCAGCCCCACATTTTTTTTCTCCTTGCCTTCTAGGATTTCACAAATGGCATGGGTGTTAGAGCTTTTGTAATTATACCACAGGTTTCCGAGGTTCTGTTTATGTTTTCAGCCTATTTTTTTGTTATTCAGATTGTGTGGTTCCATTGACCTATCTTTAGGTTCAATGCTTCTTTCCTGTGTCATTTACCTCTGCTATTAAGCTGATCCAGTGACTTATTTTATTTTCATTATCATTCCTCAAGTACCGGGGTCCCTAACTTATTGACCAGCCTCATTAACTGTGGTTAGTGTTTTTCCAGTTTGAGGCTGTGGGGAAAATAATACAGTTTTTTGTGCCTAGAATTGAGCATTTCTTTTTAAAAAGGTGATTCATTCTTTTTTAGCTCTAGGAAGAAAGGGAGGAATATGGAGGAGGGAAGGCAGGGAGACAGAATCTATATACTTGCTTGACCAAGTACCTGCATAAGCCTGGCATAATCTGGAGCGACTTCTAGGAAGTAAGTAGGTAGAGGTGTAGCCAGAGAAGTTACTGAGTTTAGGTTGGCAGTCAGGTTGAAGAGATTCAAAGAGCTTACCCACATCAATTAGGTTCTCTTGATTTAACTAAGTCCTCGAGAGGTTTTCTCTTTCCTTCTTCTACAAAACACCTCCCTGCCCCTATTATACCCTGGATTGGTTTTCCTGGTTTAGATCATGAGGGCCATTTAAGAGACTGGGGTGGTACCTGGTAGAGCAGTGCAGTAGTGCTAGCCCTGCTGGTGGCACTCCCACCCCGTGAGCATCTTCTTCACCTGTACAGGATGGTGAAGACATTTAAGCAGAGACTTTGTTATTTACAGAAAAAGTTTGGTTAATGAAAACATTTTGTCTTTGAGGAAACATTGGCTGGGGAAAAGAGTGTTTGTCTCTGAAAACTGCAAGCAGTAAAATAATTTATCTCAAATTATTTTAGAAATAGCAAAGTATCTGTTGAAAGAAAAGAAAACTCTTGCAATAATTGGTAAATGAATCATTAGGCTGAGTTCATCCAGAGAGCAGCACTGCTTCTGTGCATAATTCCTATAAATACGTCCCCTTTTTTCCTCTCCCCTTTGGAGATTTATAGGCCATTAAAGTGAGCTGGCTGCCTTTGGACGTGCAGGGAAACATTTCTGGGTTCAAGTATCTTACAAAGGTTTTCTCAGAACCTTATAAAGGCTCACAGGTTATTTTTGTTCAGTGTGATTGGGAATTAGGTGTGATCTCAAAGTAAATAATATGTACATAATGCTATTTAGGAAATAACACAAAAATGTCTAGCGTTTCTATTTCATCTTTTGAAAAATTCAAAGATACAAGGGTAAGGAAAACAGTAAATATATTCAGCTCTCCATTTATATATATGAACAGTAAATATATATTCAAAAATATATATATTTTCTCTATCTGAGGAGAAAAGAGGTATGCTAGTGAAAAATACTGGTAGGAAGGTAGATCATTTCTCATCTGGTTTCGAAATACATAAACATTCACTGGTGAGTATGTTCTAATGTAAACACTCATTGCCTCCGCTTTCCAGTTCTCGAACATTCCTTCGACTGACCTCGCTGGTGTTTTCCTCCATTTCATTTTCCTCCACCGAACAGTCTTGCTTCAGAATAGTTTTCCACAAAGTGAATGATTTCCATAATGTTTCTAAAGCTGGATTGCAATCACAAGAAAAATTCTTTCCAAAGTATGCTGATCAGAACATACCAACAAACCCCAAAGTATGTTGACCAAGTTTCCCTGAGACAACAGAATCCCCTCCAGTCAGCTTAAACAGAAGGGAATGCGTCGTGGGAATTTAAGGAGGTCTCACAGCAGCGAGAAGGCCGCAGGGCCAGGCAGCCCGTGAGCCCCCAGGAGCAGGTCCCACGGTCGCCCTGCGGCACAGCTCCTGGGGTGCGCACTCGTCGGCACTGCCCCGCCAGGAAGCCGCTGCGCCTCCGACTGCCTGGACCTCGGAGTCTCCACCGGCGCTCCTGGGGAGCACCCTAAGGGCCTCTGCCACCGTTCTTCCAGGAGAGTCCGAAAGGAAAGCCCATCCTTCTGCCACCTTGGGAGTCTTCCCGTGTGTTCGCCGGAAGCAAGGTCCCAGGCAGATGTGCCGGCTGCGGGGAGTTCTGGGAAATGTAGTTTTCTGCCTCCCAACCTTAGTCGTGTGGGGAGTCACTGCTGCAGGAGGAGGGAGGGGTGTTGACTGAGTCAGCTGGTGGCATCTGCCGTATAAAACAGACATTTTATTACGAGGGGAAGGTTAAGATGGTTGTTCCCGGTGGCACTTCAGATGTGGCAGTTTTTCTGAAAGCTGATGTGAGCCCACGGTTTCTAGAACCTCTCTCCGTTCCTTTCTTTTGACTGTGTTTGGAGGATCTTGAGTAGCTCAGCTCTCTCAGGTTTTATTCGCCGTGAGCACCTCTATCTGCGGGAAAAGAGACGGCGAAGAACACCAGGCCAGACCCTTCCTTTTGCTAAGAACAGAAAAAGCATTGTTTCACAGGCAGCTGGAGCCACTGTTTAAGAGGCCCAGAACTATGGCTGTCTTTCTATCAAATTATCCTCTTGCCTATCTGCAGCAGCAAGAGGTAACACGACTTCAAAGCGATTTTACTAGTGTCCAGTCTGCATTTCTTGTGTTCACTGAAGGTGCCTAGGTGACTAACCTGAGATGACCTCAGTTCATTACACTGTCTGTGTGACCCTGGGTAACTGAATTGAATTCTTTAACCCCCTTGTCATTTTTTAGAAAATGAGGACAATAGTTTCTATCTCTCAGAGTGTCCTGGGGAATCAGCTTTAACAAAGACACTTATTTGGAGAACGGCAATGGGACCAGCCAGCCTGGAGGGGAGAGTGTGTGTGGGTTGGGGTTTGGTGGGGGAAAGGCTGGGAGCATTGTGTAAATCCCATTGTGTAGAGTTTGGACTCCCATTGGCCTTCTTTCCAGTTGGTTTATGAACTGCAGTTTGTGTTCTGCCTTGGAGTATACTGGAATCCTTCTGATAAACTCCCCTTTGGCCCATTTAGGACCAGACCGACTTTGAGTGGAGCTTCTGGATGGAGTGGGGGAAGCAGCGGCTGGTGTGGCTTCTCCTTGGCCACCTGGCTGTGTCTCAGATGGCCAACCAGATCGCGAGGAAGGTACGACCACGCGCAGCATTTCCTTTTAAGCTTCTTTCGCCTTGATTTTTTTGTGAAGAAAGGGCCCCGAGCTGAGTGAGAGTCAGACGTGGATATTAGCCTTGGAAACCTGTTTGTGATCGATCAGACATTTAAGATACAGGGGTAACGCATTCTTATCCCCCACGTCCTTCCTCTAAGTGATTTTTCAAACCAATGAATGCAAAGGTTTTAAAGTAAAACTATAGTTACCAGCATGCATGAATTTCTGGATTACGACATTGAGCCAATCAGGTAAGTGGCAGTGGAATCTATCACGTATGACCCCATGTATACAAAGCTTCGAAGTGTGCAAACTAAATTCACACTTGCAAATTTACAAAGAGAGATAATGAAAAATGAATATAAAACTCAGGGAAATCACTATAAAACGCGGCTGGTTGGGAGGGGCATAGATGGAATCGGGGTGGGGTGTGGGGTGTGTGTGGGGGGTGGATGCCCAGGGCCCTTTACCGCACTGAGAGCCTGGTCTTTCTTAAGCTGCTGGTGGTGTGCGGTGCTATTTCATTGTTCTTCGTACACCTTGCAAACTTTACAAATATTCCTCTCTCTGTGTTTGATATTTGATATATTTTTAATTGATCATGTGGAAGAAGTGAGTGGCGGGTAGAGGGAAAGGTGAGGCTGCGCTGGGCACACTGAATTTTTCATGTCCTGCCTGCCCCACGACCCTGCCACGTGCGTCAGGACCCACGTGCCCGTCTCCTTGGTCTCCTTTGCTTCCCTCTCACTCTTGCCCCTTGTTTGCCTCTCGCAGATCAGTGTTTCATTATTGCCCCCACCCCGGCCCCACCCTCGGAGCCTTTTTAGCTATTTTTTTCCTAATTGCCTCTTCTCTGTGAAATTTTGACCACAGATACACTGAATATCAGTTGATGCGCTATGGGCATGCCTATGCTTTATGCATTAGGGGCACCTTTTTCTTGTCTCCAAGAACCCCTTCCCCCTCTGATGGTGGAGCTATAACCCCCATCGAGGATGCAGAGTGTAGATGAACTCTGTGTTCTTGGCTGGATGCTCCTCCCTCTTTCCAAACTTCCTCAATTTTCAGCTCCTATTTTGTACTTACCATCATCAGAAACCAGCCTGGGTTAGGGCGTCGATGTCCCTCCATTTAATTTGCCCTCCGCTTTGCGTTAAGGCTCTTTCCACCTGGGGAGTCAGTGTCGGGCGTGGATAGGAGCTTGGATGACTCTCAGCGTTGCGGGGTTTAAGCTGCACCATCTTCAGCAAGCTGGTTAGTACCTCTCTGAGTTCATGTCCTCATTTGTGGGGCAGGGATGGCAGCCCTCGCTTCTTGGGGTCGTGCCGAGGCTCTGATGTTTTTTAAGGTTATGCTTGCATATGATAGAAGCCAAGTAAGTGGCGGTTGCTGCTGTCATCTGCTGGCGATTAGCGTGTGCTGAGACTGTGGTCTGCGTGTGCTCCTGGGAGCAGCCGCCCCGTGCTGTCCAAGACAGGAGGTGACTGTCTTGAGATTCCAAACCTCCAAGGGCAGAGGCTGTCTGCAGTCATTGCCAACACTCCTCTCATGACTGTCTTTCTCTGACCCTGTTTCAAGTGTATGCTGGGTCCTGGGGAAGGGATTGGGAGACACGGCCCCTTGCTTTGGAGAGGTGAGAAGTCACATAGGAAATGGAACACTGGTCTCAGTCCTGGACCTGATGTGGTGGTGGGTTGGGTCCCTGGGGGAAGGAATAGGCCACATCTGCCTTGGGGTGACAGGGAAGGCCTTCCAAGGATGTGGCTCTGAGCTGTGGCTGGAAGGAAGGAGAGCTGTTTGCCTCTTTCAGCTTTGTGTCTCATACCCACGCGTGGTGGACAGTGGGCCTGTCTGTTTATCTGCAGAGCATGTCTTATCCTAAGTCAGTAGGAGGCAGCTTTGCATTTTTCTTGGAATGGAGCAGAGTTCAGAGTCATCTGCGTGTGTGTGTGTGTGTGTGTCCCGTCCCCCTGGTGGCCACGGGTTTGATCTGTGTGACAGCTGGGGCACAGGGTTCTGGCTGGGGCTGGGGCACAGTGCTTTCTTTGTGCGAGTCTGCCTGACTCTTATGTAAGAATGAACCACAACTTTGGCCCCGTGAGCTCTGTGCTTTCACCACCTGGACTAAGTGTTCCAGATGGCCTTGGTTCGGGTGGGCGTTTGGTACTTACTCAGGGTGGAAGGTTTGGGCTGGAGTTTTTCTATTTCCCCATCCTTGGAGGCATCATGAACTCTGGACAATGCTGTGCAGGGCCAGATGTTACCCACTCTTCATGTGACAGCCCATAAACCCTGAAGGATGCTTCCCGTCGCCATCTAATGTCTCATCTCATCTCTTCCTTTGCAAGCCTTGCCTCCTTCCAGAGACAGGCAGGTTGTTTTCAAGAGCGTGATTTTCTTTTTCTTTCTTTTTTTGCCATGACAAGTAATAAAACTTTCCACTGAGCTCCTTGGCCGAGGCTAAATGCCTTTCCTCTGGGTATGGGTAGGGCTCTCTGGGTTTTGGTGAGCCTGCGTCAGGGCCCGGTACCCTGGGAGGGATGGCTGGATGACGGCTCTGGGCCCTGGCCCTGGGTTTGTTATGATTGGATTGTGTGTTGGGCGGGTCACACAGTTCCTCCTTTCTTCAACACCCGCGTGGCCTCAGCACCACCTGAGGCATTGTGTTCTCTGCCCTCAGAACTGAAAATAACCCGCATGAACGTTTTGAGAAGGCCGCCCGTTTGGGGGCTGCGGGTGGGGCCGTTGCTAACCGCAGAGGAGTTTTCACTGCACCCCTGACGGGCAGAAACCACACCATTAGCATCTGGGCCGGCTGCTGAGCTCACCCGCCACAGGACTGAGAAGCATGTGGGCTGAGACGAGTAAACTAACCTCTGGAGGGCTACAGGGAGCAGGCGCTCCCTTCCAGCCTGTTACCAAAACCGCACACCTAATAGGAATCTCAGGCACTAATGGTTTTCCTGGAACCAGATTCTTCCACCTCCGTCCCTGCAGAGCTAGGGGGGATGAAGTCTGCTTCTTAGGGGTCCCCCAGCCTTGCTCCCAGGAAAAGCAGGCTGGGGTGGAGTTGCTGGGACTCTGGGCTGGTTTTGTTTTCTCCCTGTTTGTTTGCGGAGATATATAGATATATTTTTCAGCAGCAGCTCCCCTTGATTATGTAGTGTGTAATAAATTATACCATGTGTAAGGATTATTGATCGACTCCTTTTATTTATTTCTCAAACAGTGCCCCACCGAGTGGTTTTGGGCAGATGTGAGGGATTAGCACACAGCAAAGCCTGGTACAGATGCCAGCAGGAGTCTTCACTGAGGCTTTGCATTTTCATTCCTCCCGACAGAGGCAAGATAGTGAGGGAAACCACTCAGGCGCATCCTATTACCAGTCCTTGCCGCCCACGGCCCAGAAAGGCTAGAGCAGATGAGAGCAGAGATGGCGTGAGGGGGCAGGGCCCGCCAGCTCTCCCTGTGCCTGTGTCCTGACCCCCTGTGAAGACCTGGAGACCTTAGACCCGCCACAGGAGGGAGGGCCGGGCCCCGGCCTTTTCTCAGGTGCTGGTTTCAGCCTTGGGGATGTGCCCGCTCAACTGGTTTGTGCCAGGAAGACTTCACTGGGCCAGGGGCAGCAGTGCCATCACAGAGGTCTGCTTTCATAGGGGGTGTCTGTGTCCTACCAGGTGTGAACTGTTTGAGATCCCCCCCCTGCCCCGACGTAAAAGACCCTGTGAGTGGGAAACAGGCAGTAGGCAGTGAGATGTGAAAAGGCTCCCGTTCCAGATGCATTGGCAAAACAGCCTTTGTTCATAAGGGGTTAAGTGGTACAAGTAGAGACTTTGGAAAACAGCAGTATTTCACATTAGTGGACCAAAAAGCCCCAAATTTTAATGCTAATTTCTTGTCGTGTCTTAGTCATAACTACGAGATTAAATCCGAAGACTTGGGGAAGCATATCCATCCATTCACCCATCCAATATTTATGAAACACTTGCTATATGCTAGGTACCCTGTTGGATTCTGGGCTTACATGGTTGTCATATGAACAAGACAGGATATTAGCCTTCTAAGGGAGGCTTGTTTCCCCTCCCCTCTTTGAGAAATGATTCCGTGTAAACACAGGGAACAGTGGGAGCAGAGGGACGGTCACCCACCTAATTCATCCCGGGCAGTAAGCTCTGCCCCCTCAGAAGGGCCATAGTATTCTTAGTCTGGCTTTATCTCTACTGCCACAAAACTGAGTACAGTTTTTTTCTTAATGTTAGATTTTTTTTTTTTTTTAAGTGTCTCCTCTTTCCCTGCCTTCCTTTTTATTCCAGACTCTTTCATTTCTAATAAAGATAAAGAGTTCAAGGGGGTTGGGATAGTTCTGATGAACTTCGCATCCAGCAAAGTTCAACCTGTCTTATCCTCAAGCTTCAGGTTGCTCATTCGTGGTTGATACCCTTTAAAAGAGCAGTGAGATACCCCTGCACAAGTACCAGAATGACTCAGCTGTAACACCAAACGCTGGTGGGGATCCCGATAAACTGGGTCACTCATACACTGCCGGTGGGGAGGTAAGCTGGCCACCCGGGAAGACCGTTGGGAATTTCTTACAGAACTAAACACATAACTACCATGCAACCCAGCAAGTTCATTCACACTCGGGCATTTATTCCAGAGAAATGAGTACTTATTTTCACACTAAACCCGAGCACAGATGTTCATATCAGTTTTATTTATGATAGCTCCAAACTGGAAATAGCCCAGATGTCCTTCAACAGGTGAACAGTTAAACAGATGGTGGTAGGCCCACATCATGGAATACTACACAGCAAGAAGGGAGCAAAGCTTCGGCACCTGCAGCAACGTGGATGAGCCTCCAGGGAATTGTGCTGAGGGGAAAGAAGCTAATCCCATAGGTTCCGTGCTGTGTAATTTTTGAAATGAGGCTTGGAAGACTACTCGTGCTCATTAGGATTTTAGCGGAGCTTTGAGGATGGGATTCCCGTTGCATTTTTATAGACAAAGTATGAAAACCAGTATTTCATAGGCGTTCTCCTGCATCGTGCGTATCTTTTCATTTCCATCACCCGTTCGTGAGGAATGCATGGAGAGTTGCCTTTACCCGCTGGGGTGGACGGGTGGGCAGCACCCGGGTTTGCAGGGAACACGGTGTGAATGAGAGCATTTCCTGTGACGTCCTAGAGAGAAAGACATCACATGTCGTCTGCCTGGACTCTGGCTGGAGGAAGACAGTGGGAGGTGAGGCTGTGGGACAAGCTCCTGTGCCCCCAAGGTAGCCGTTGTGAGCACGGTTGAACTCATCAGAGAATCTCTCAAGCAGACGGGGTCTGCACAGGACTATGAAGTATTTCCTGAAGGTTTGTTCAGCTTTTCCAAGCTGAAGCAGCTTACGTCTGTGGTTAAATTCCCAAATGAATCCCAGAAAACAGGCTTTTAAAAAAATGGATCAAATAGCACTTAATAAAAATGTGGCTGTGTACATGTGTATGTCTGTAGCGTGAAAAAATTCCAGGTGCTAAATGCTGTAGGTCATGTTGAAAAAGGACCTTTTTTTTTTTTTCCATTCGTTGTAACTACTTCTTAAAATAGTCTCTGGCGACTTTGTTCCTTATACTTGCACTCTGCCCAGAGGTGAGCGTTTGGGGGAAAGTTTGAAGCAAATTTATGTGGCTGTTTTCTGTGGGTAGTAGGATGGAAAAATAGTAAAAACAAGCTGCAGATTTCTCTGATTTTCTTGGAACTTAAAAGTGGCTGACGTAGCCGCTCAGTTACAGTGTTCTCTCTCCAGCCGGGGTATAGGTTTGGGAAAAATTGTACTTCAGCAATATTTTGGAAGAGCCAGCATCTGAGGATGGGATTTGCAATTTACAGCCCACATCTGCCTTCCCCTTAGAGAAGTCTTTTTGTTTTTACAAGAAGACATTCCTGGAAACCATATTTTAAAATGCACCCTGAGAAGACACATCATATTTCCCTGTAGGATAACAACTAGAATTTTCTACTGTACTTGCTGTGTCTGCAGACACTGTAGTAAGCATTTCACATGCATTTACTTACTACATCCTCACAGCCTTCTGAAGAAGATACCGGCTTTATCCCAATTTTATATACGAAAAAAACTGAGAGGCACAGAGACATGAAGCAACTTGACTAGAGTCACACAGCTAGTTAAAGGGGACACTAGGATTTATTTAGGCAGTTGGACTTCAAAGCCTGAGTAATTAAACCACTATGATATGTCGCCTCTCAAACAATGTTAAAACATATTGTGTTTTTTCAGTAACCAGATATGATAAAGAGAATATCATAAAAGCAAAGGGATGTTAATTTATTTAGTTAAGCAATGTCAATCACTATAAAACTTGATAATTAAATAGAAAGATTTATCTATTAAAACATTTTCTCCTAAAATGAGACTAAATGTTTTCATCGGGTTGACTATGCCAAGGCCTCAATGTCACAAAAAGCAGGGAAGACACACTTTTCCTGTGACATAAACTTGCCTGTAAATAATATCCTAATAAAGCGAAAATGTAATTAGATATTTAATTTTAAATCTGTAGTTTAGACTTGAAAAGCCTTTCGTGGTTTGGACGGCCCAGGTTTCTCAATAAAACGCCTGAGAGATGTTCACCAACACTCTTTCACCTTCACTTTAGCAGGAGAGTGTGTACAGGAGGTCATGAAGCATTGGCCTCCCATATGTCGAACCTTCAGCGACAGTGCCCCTTAGCTCACCCTTCTGTCTTTCCTTCCTGCCCCGTCCCTCTTTGTCTCGCACCGGGCCCCCTGCCCACAGCACAGACCCTGGATCCTCGCCGCCTACGGGATGGGGGCCTGCTGGTGCGTGCTGGGGGCCCCGGGAACAGCCATGGTCTTCCTCCACACCGTCGTCTCCTTCTGCGTCGCGCAGTTCCGCTCGCTGTTCCTGTCATGGCTCTGCTCCCTCCTCCTGCTCTCCACGCTGAGGCTGCAAGGCGTGGAGGAGATTAAGGTAGGTGCCTCCATTCACCCGTGGGAAGGCGAGTGTCCCTTTGATGGGGGCCCCCTCTGGTGGCTCCCTTAGTTTTCAGGCAGCAGCCAGTTGGGGAACTGTGGTGGGGCTCCTCCTGGTGGCCCTGTGGCTGTGTCTTAACCCTCTGAGGTTGCACAGGGCTAAGCTTTTCTCCCAGTTTGGGAAGGCACGGATGGTGACACATATCACAGGAACAGAGGGGCAGGAATACAGAGAAAAGAAAGCAACAGTTCCCTACGCGTTTAATAAAAAATCATCTGTAGAGTACGGTGCAATTTATAGGAAGCTCTCACATCCCTTATCTCATCTGGCGCCCACGATAGCCCCCGAGACAGACAAGGCAGGTATTTCTTTGCACAGAAAATGTATATTTTTTTCCTTGAGTCACTGTGGAATGGAACTCTTGCGGTGTCTTTATTTTTATTCATTCGTTCACTCATTCATTGATTCAAGGGATGGCACTTAGAGTTGATGTGCCCCGGGCTGGCAGTCATGGGAAAGAACGTGATGGGAAAGATGAACTAGTGGACAACCCGTGTGGCATTTGTAAGCCTCTCGTTGCCTTCAGGTTTGCTGGAGGAGCTGTGGAGGTATCCGCTGGTCGTGGCCAACCTCCAGGTTACCCACTGGATGTATCCGACGGGTGCCCGTGGGGAAAATCTTCATCGTGTTGCATCAGGCTCAATGCTGAGCCGATGCTTGATGACAGAGACTCTCTCCTGCCCGCTGCTCATTAACCGCTTGTTTAGACTTACCTGCCGTCCAGTGGCTCTCAGCTCCCTTTATGGTAGAAGAAACCTCCTTCCCCGGGGACTGGACAAGGCCCCTCCTCGCTGCTCACGGGCTGTTCTCTCCTGGTGGCTTTCAGAGAGGGTGGTACAGGACAGAACGCGAGTACTACCTGCTGCAGTTCACGCTGACCGTCCGCTGCTTGTCCTACACCAGCTTCAGCCTCGAGTTCTGCTGGCAGCAGCTGCCCTGCGGGCGCGCCGTCTACTCCTTGCCCTGGATGGTGGCCTACGTCTTCTATTACCCAGTCTTCCACAACGGGCCCGTCCTCAGCTTCCCGGAGTTCATCGGGCAGGTGGGTCCCTGGGGTTGGGTCGCTGTGCTGTGGATTAAGCCCCTGTCCTTGTCCCCATGCTCACGCACGTGACCCCTGAGTGTTTTCATTCAGGGGTGCCCATAAGTTTAAAACACATACTATTGTCTTGATTTTTTTTTTTTTTTTTTTACGCAAGAAATACTTCAGGAAAATCAGTCCTCAAAATAAAGCTCGGCTTGTCCCGATTCTCGGTGGACTGTGGCAACCAGGATTAATAACTGGGCACAGCGAGGAACTTGAGGGGAACCCTGCAGGGCAGTCGCAGGGAAGGAAGAAATTGGATTTTCGTGGCATTGCTTGAAAAGTAGAAAGAGAAACTGTGTAGGCTGTTGGATGGCAAGTAGTATGCTCGCTTTTATTTTTACAAACCGACATAGCCTGGGAATTGTTCAGGGCGATTGTGATGGGGAGATGGGGGGAGTCGAAGGGAGCTGGACAGCAGGATGTGTTTTCACGTCTGGTGCCTGTTTCTGCCCAGGACCCTGCCAGCCTGTCTGAAGCTCATGTCGAGCTACCTTCGATCATTCCCACCTCACTTTTCCTCCCACTTAGGTTTTTTTTCTTTATGCCACAGCTAGCCTCATGGAACATGTTAATGCAATTAATCCACCTACGGTGTTAGTAACTGAAAATACCTAAAATGGTATTTCTCAGGGACAGTCCTACCTCCCACCAGCAAAGTAAAATCCTGATGGAGGTGAGAAAAATAACATGCATGCACACACACAGTATATATATGCACACATCGAACACATGTGCACACAGTACATACTCTTGCGAGCTCACACACACATACTCTCACTTGCACGCACACACACACACACACAGGCAGACACACACACACACACAGAGGCCTAGAAGTGCAGAGCCACTGTGGAGCATTTTTGGAGGACAACTTGAAATGAAACGTGCCCCTGGAAAAGTCAGAGGGTTCTTAGAAATCCCTTAATTCCGTCTTAAAAATTCCACTCAGTTGTGCATTGTATTCAAAAGTACATTTCTGCATTCGAACAATAATGCCATGTTTTAAAATTGCCAGTTAAGTGACTTCATTTTTCCCCTCTGCAAATTTGCAAGTGACATTGGTGTTCTAGGCAGATGCGAGTTTAGCATATGGTTTTGAGTGGCTCAGTTTGGGTTACAGAGGATCATTCTTTTGTCCTGAAGTAATTTTAAATCTGTGATTGAAAATTATGTTTAAAATTATCCTGTAAAAGGCAGAGGTGGATAGTGATGGCAGCTGATCTAACTGTGGTTCTCCAGGCGTGGTCCCTGGACCCGCGCATCAGGATCCCCCGGGGAACTCACTGGACTCGATCCTCAGGCCCCACCCCAGACCTGCTGAATCAGCTCCGGGGTAGGGCCCAGACATCCTTTTCACAGGCCTCCAGGTGATTCTGGTGCATCTAGAGGTTCAGAACCACTCTCCTGAGCTCCTCAGAGGACAGGAGGGTGGGGTGTGGGGTGTGGGCGCAGTGGAGGGTGGGCTCAGGCCCTCCAAGTTGTCTTTTTTACAATTTCCTCACCATGGTGAGCTTTCGCTTCTTCCCAACATTGCAGCCAGTAACTTTTGGACTAACCCCCCTTCTCCCCCCGCACGCCCCTCTCTGAAGCCAGATAGTAATTCTCAGAGAAACATGGACTAAATCCATGAAGAGGAAACATGATTCTCCTGACTGGCTCTTGCCCATTGAGGAGCTTTGCCCTGGGGATGTGCACTTTGTTTTATGCAGATCGTAATTCTTTTCCTTTCTTATCTCCTCCTCTGAAGTTGCCCCTGTAAGGTCTAGCAGGACCATGGGAGGCCACTGCGGGTCCTATGTCTGTAGGTGGAGGTGAGCTTTGAGATTACTGCTCACCTACACTCTCAGCCAAGGGCGCCCATTCTATTGAGTTTCAGTCTGGGGAAGAGAAGGGCTGGTGTCTTCCTGCAGGGACTCAGGTATGGAGCCTGGGTGGTATTTGTGTCCTAGCTGTTTCTTTTTTACCCCTTTCAAATTGGTAGTAATTTCTGAAAGCAGGGAACTCAGAAAAACAAGTTTTGAAACCTTTATGGTCTAGGAAGATTCCTAGAAAAGTTGGTCTAGGAAAGGCAAAATGTTCAGTAAGAAACAGAAACACAGAAGGCAGTTTCTGCAGTTGCCAAAGGTGACTGTGGGGCACCAACCTCCTATGAGAAAGGTGGGTCGAAGGAGGGCAGTTGAACTAGGAAGCTAATCTAGTGGTGGAAGGGGTCTTTCCGAGAGGCCGAGAAGGGGAAGGTGGGATGGTGAGGAAGGAAGCTAACTGGAAGGACTTGTAAGCAAGGTTTGCTCCGAACGAGTGCTTGAGTGGATGAATAAGTGCCTTCAGATAGAAGGACTCCTAATACTGAAATTCCCAGTTCTTAGATTCTCAGCTCAATGCTTACAAACTACTGAGAGCAGGAGAATGAGGCTGTGCCACCAGGGGGCAGCAGAGCCTCACGTGGAAACCAACCCAGGACAGAAAAGGTGGCCAAGAGGACCCTGTTAGGCACGCCCCTGGGAGAATGTCTCCTTCCATCCATTTTTTCAGCCCGTAAATTTCCACAAACACAAGAAGAGGGAAGTAAAGAAGAGGTGTCCCCTGTAACGTAAGGCATGTGGAATCTGCACACATCGATCATGAGCAGGTAAAATGTGCCTGTTGAAAGGCCTCAGTGCCCTAACTTGAGTCATCTCTGATGGCATTTGGAGTTTCAGGAACATGGGGTCTGTTTATATTTCTCCCTTGGTCTGTGGACTTTAGATACTGAACTAGGGGTGTGGGGGGCCAGGGGCCGAGGAAAAGGCAGGAGATGCTGTTTGTGGAGCCTGGCCCACCGCATCTTACTCTGAGCAGGTGGATCCTTCTGTGGGGGCTGGTGTGGAGCAGGATGGTGGGCCCGAGGGTGGTAGGATCCGGGCCTTTTCCTGGCTGAGGCCATGCTCCTAGTCCGAGAAGAGCCAGTGTGCAGATGGGGAACTAACTGCATGTGTTGAAGAGCAGAGACTCTGGAACCCAACCCTGTTAAAGGATTTGAATCCCTGCTCTGCTTTGGCTTGAGAGCATTTGGTGAGTTACTTACCTTATTTGTGACTCAGTTTCCTTATCAGTGAAATGGGAAGAATATTAATGCCTCTGTCACAGGACTGTTACGGGGATTAAATGAGTTTGTACAGGTAATGTGGCTTGACACCTGAACACTATGAGGTGTGAACCATTACTGTTGTTGCTGTTGTTAGCTAAAAGTGTGGCAATTCTGGGGTAAGTTTAGGCTGGAACATGGACCCTGGGTGTCCAGTCTGGTGGGTGGGTGCAGCAGCAGGGGATGCTGGGCAGTGGCCAATCTGGCCTCAGAAGAGGCCAGTGTGCTGGTTCCATCTCTGTGGAAGAGAGACCCAGGCAGTTGCTGCAGGTACAGGGGAAAGCCCGGCTCCCGAGTGGCCAGGGCTGGCAAGAGCTGGATAGGCAGTCAGTGTCCCGGACAAACTGCTCAGGGTTTGGAATGGTCTCTTGTTCTAGCATCTACCTGGAATAATTCGAGTTCTAATAAGTAACCTTAGATGAGCACTTGCTCCGAGCCAGGCTCTGCATGTTCTAACTCATGTCATCCTCGCAGCAGCCCTAGGAGAGAGAGATGCTGTTGCTGTTACCACTTTACAGACGGTAACATGGAGGCAGAGAGAGGCTAATGGAATGCAGATCGGGGTGGAAGGAATAAAGAGGTGAGCCTTGTCATGCCCACTTGGCGAGTGCCCAGGAGTCAGAGAGAAGGTGCGGCGAGGCTTGTGGACATGCGGGTCTGGAGGCTCAGGCCGGCCAGACCAGTCCTAGTCCTGTGGGAGCAACACCCACTGCAGCCCCCCTCGCCGCTCTGGCAGGACCACTGTCTACCCACCTGGGGAGGGGCAGTGAGGCGCTGATTAGGGACTGGCTTGTTGGGAGTAGGGGTGTGGTCTGTGACCACTGACTGGACGGAAGCTCGCCCACCACAAAGGGTTAAGCCACTGATTCCAGTGCCCTTGATCCAAACACAGAGGCTGAGGCCGAGGGGGCACAAGTGAGCGGTTGGCTCCGGGGAGGGCTTTCGTTTGTGCTCTCAAACATTATTATTATTACCGTGTGAAGGAAAAGAACTTTTCCTCTTTGAAAACTGTCATCTTTAATCATCAGGATATCTTTAAAAGCCTTTGATATTCCTTTTTATGCAATTTGCATGAAATGAGGCTTTAAAATATAATCTGCTTTCAAATGCACTTTGCAGATGAGTTATGTGTAATTTTTTAGTGGCGCCTTAAATTCCCACTGATGGCAGTTTCCAGTGGTCTGAAGGTTGGCACTCCCCCCAGGTTGGAAATATCTCGAATGAACCGCTTTGCACGGAGACGGGACAGCATCCTGCTCCTTAGGTGAACTATGCAGGGCACCTCCTTTCTTCCTACTGGATGGACAGGGACCCCCATGCCTTGGTGTTAGGAGAGAGTGGAGCTTAAGAGGTTCCTTGGGTCACCTTCCCCCAGGAACGGCCTTTCTCGGGGATGCGGTGTCTTGGGCCCTTGCTGCCGTGTGCTGAGCCCAGCCGGTTGCCTCCGCCGGTGGGTGTTTGCAGACCCCGCTTCATCCCTCATGAATCCTCTCACCTGCTCGTCACAAGGCGGCCTTGAGTCACACAAAATCTTGTCAGTGTCACACGNTTACCAGTGTCACACCCAGAAACGTCCACGCGCCCTCCTGCTTTTCTGCCCGTCTAGTTCGGATTCGCAGCACCCTTATGCGTTTCCGAATCTCCGCGTTTTAAATTTTGGTGCATCCCTGAACAGCAGGCCGTGAGGTGAGACCACAGCGCCAGGCTACCTGGGCAGGACTTGGATTTTTTTTGGTTTGTATTGTCTACAGGTATTGAGTCTATATCTATGAATAACGAAAACATCCCTGTCACTGTTGACACCTGGCTCTGAATCGCCTCCTAACTGTGCCCTGTGGCTAGTAGCCCCGGATGCCAGGAGGGTGAAGGTGCAGCGTGTGCGATACAAAGCACGAAATGATCGGACATTAACGATAATCGTCCGGCGCTTGTTATGTGCCAGGTGCTGTGCTTAGTACTTTGTTTATTATATTCAATCATCACAACAATTTTTTTTTCATTTTATGTGTGAGAAAACCAAGCCTCAGAGAGAGTAAGTAACTTGCTCAGCTCACACAGCTGTGTGGTTTGTGCTAGAAGCTGATCCCGTGTTCTTAACTGTGACACTGTGCCACCTGCTCAGCGGGAGATAGTGCCATGAGCTGCCCCCGTTTGTGTTCACTCTGCCTTGTTTCAAGACCAACTCAAGCTGAGATGACACACTGGCACCTAGCTGTTGCTGGTTCTCAGGCTCCGTCCCATTCTGCCTTTCTCTTACCAGTCCTGGGCCCCTTCTTGACTTGGCCCTACTTTTACCTGCCTTAGATGTGAGTGGGTGATGGATGGAGACAAGCAGGGCGACGCTGAACCCGAAGAGAGCCCAGAGCCCCAGGGTTCTGCAGGGTTGTTGCTGGCGTGAAGGTCCGCGGAGCCCGCCTTGGCTCCTGGCCCTAGGCTAGCTTGTCGACCCCACCCTGTTCTCACTCAGGGACAGTTTTCAGGCTCAGGCATGAATTTTTTTTTTACCCAAGAACATGGAGTGTTCCCAAGGCAAACTAAACCAACCCTCTTTTAGTAGATACAGCAATAATGTTTGTGGGCCGTTTATGAAAACCACTGTCCTGGGGACTGTTTGGCAGATTTGAAGGATGGATGCAATCTGATGGCTTCCTCTGTCTCCACCTTAGATGCAGCAGCAGGAGCAGTGCTCACCGCGGCCCCGCCTCTCCGTGCTGGCCCGGGCGCTGGGCCGCCTCTGCGGCTGCTGGTGCTTGGCCGAGCTGATGGTGCACCTCATGTACATGCATGCCTTCTACGGCAGCCCCCCCCTCCTGAGGGCCGTCTCCTGCTGGACCTTAGGTAACTGCGGAAACCAGACGGACGTCAAGAGCTAGCTTCGGAGGGAAGCTGGACTGGGGACTGGTGGGGGTGCAGTCGTCTCGAGCAAGCTCTCTCTTTTTTTAACCTAGTTTCTCTATGGCCAAGATGACACACGTGTGAGGTGCCTGGTGGAGGTGAGGGCCGAGCTTTGTGGTCTGGGGACCGAGGATGGTTACAATCCCCTTTCGTGACAGAATCTGACAAGTTTAATTGGGGCTACCCCCTTCCTGGTGTGGGGAGCACAGCACTTGGCAGGAGAGGCAAGAGACGCTGAGGGCAGCCCCTGAGTCCCTGCTAAGAGGCAGTGCTCCCAGGCTGAGCTGTTCTGCAATATAATATAAAGGAAAGCACATGAATGTGAGCTCTCGAGTCAGACAGCGTAGGCTGGAATCTCACCTACTGCCGGGGGCAGCCTTTGGCCTCTCTGCATCTCCATCTGCGCAGAGAACAAGGTTTGTGGGTTGGTTGAGGATCCGTTGAAGCCGTGCATGTGAAGGGCTTGCCTCCTCGAGTGGCCGGTAGGTAAAATAAATGGTGTGTGAGCGCGTGTAGGTCCTTGGCCTGGCCCCTTTTCCTTGCCACTCGTTTCTTTAGATCGGCAAGTAGGTAGGACGGAAGCCACTTCCTCAGCAGGATTCATTTTCCAGCCTAGGACTTGTCTTCGGAGAAGCCCCTGCTCTTTATTCCTCCGGCCAAAAAAGCGGTGGCTGTGCCCTATTCTGACCTAAATCCCCTCCTTTCCCTGCTTGCTCTCCTTTCGAGAACTCCCCGTGGTCACCGAATTCACCCTTGTGGTCTGACCTCCGGCCTGTCGCTCCGATGGGACGCCCGTGATCTTCCGGCCAGATTAGGCGGCTCCCTGCCGAGGGCAAGAGTACAAGCCTCACTCCTTATCTGTTTGGTGATTTATAGGTGTTTTGTGTTTTGTTTTTGTTTTTTTAAAAACCAATCCTGATTGTCCTTGGAGTCACACGCTTAACCAGAGTGTTTTCAAGGAAGGTGCCTTTTCAGGTTGCAAAATTGCTGGGCTGTTTTGATTGTAGTCTTTCTTTTCAAACAAATATCGTAAGGTTTTAACCATTCGGTCAGACTGAACAGAGTGGGGGCAAATGATGATTTAGACCAAAGCGAACCCCAGTTATGCTGCGTTCAGATTAAGAGGCCATATCAGTTGGGGTGATTTGAACGGTGAGTAACGAAGACACAGCTCAAAGAGAGGCTGAGGCCATAAGGCAGAGCTGTCGCCTCAGCAGCCATCCCTTCTAACGTCAGCACAGGGCGGCCTTCCGGGGACTCGGAGAGTCCTCAGTGACTGGTCGGAGCGTCTCGCGTTCAGATTAACAACCAACCAGAACCCTAGGAGCCCTTTGTTAGCACCTTAATCCCATCACCTCTCACCTCTCCTCAAACATATGTTTATGATTCCCTTTTTAAAACTTTTTTTTTTTAAATAAACTTACTTTTAGAGCAGTTCTAGGTTTATAGCAATATTAAGAAGCAGGCACAGAGATTTCCCATATATCCCCTGAACACCCAGCTTCTCCTACTATCAACACCCCCCCACCCCACCAGGGCGGTACATCTGTTACAGCTGATGAACCTCCACTGACACACCGTTATTACTCACAGTCCCAGTTTGTGTTAGGATGTACCCTAGTGTTGTACAGCCTGTTTGACAGACGTGTCATGACAAGTATCTGCTTTTATACGCAGAACAGTTTCACAGCCTCAAAAAATCTCCTGCTTTGCCTCTTCCTCCCCACAAACCCTTGTCCATCTCTGATCTTTCTTCCGTCTCCATTGCCTCACCCTTCCTAGAATGTCATGCAGTTGGAGTCATACGGTATGTAGCTTTTTCAGATTGAATTCTTTCATTTAGTCATTTGCATTTAAAGTGTATCCATGTCTTTTAATGGCTTTATAGCTCATTTCTTCTTAGTGCTGAGTAGTAATATTCCATGGTATGGGTGCACCACAGTTTATTTCTCCCTTCACCCACTGAAGGACGTTTTAGTTGATTCTGAGTTTTGCAGTTATGAGTAATGATGCCACAAGTATCTGTGTGCAGGTTTTTGGGTGGACATAAAGTTTTCAACTCCTTTGAGTAAATACCAAGGAGTGCGATTTCTGGATGGTACGGCGAGAGAATGTTTATTTTTGTAAGAAACTGACAAGTGCTTTTCCAAAGTGGCTGTACCATTTTGTGTTTCCACCGTTAATGAGCCCCTGTGGCTCCACGTCCTTGCCAACATTTGGTGTTGTCAATGTTTTGGACTTAGGCCATTCTAATAGATGCGTAGTAGTATCTTGTTTTAATTTGCAATTCCCTATTGATATATGATGTGGAACATCTTATACCTATTTTTAGTAGTTGCTCTAGAGTTCGCAGTATATTTACAACTAATCCAAGTCCACTTTTTAGATAGCACTATATACGACTTCAACGTAGCACAACTACCTTGAAATGATATATTCCCAAATTCTCCTTATAACAAAATATTTTTAATTCCTCCCTCGTCACTTGTATGATGGTTGTCATTCATTTCACTTATATATAAGCTAATCATCAATACATTGTTGCTTTTATTTTGAAAAGACTTATCGGTTAGATCAATTACAAATAAGTTTTTATTTTACCTCCACTTATTCCTTTCCCTATGCTCTTGGTAACCCTTTTTTTGTTTTTAAATGTTGATTTGAGTTTCTGATCTGTATTATTTTCCTTCTCTCTGAAAACCATTTGCCGTTTTCGTTTGTCTGAGGAAGTATTTCTCATTCACTTTTTTTTTTATTGTTGAAAGTATTAGATGCCCTGCCCCCACTGACTCACTTTTTTAAAAAAAAAAGTCTTTATTTCAGAGAGAGGAAGGGAGAGGGAGAGAGAGAAACAGTAATGATGAGAGTCACTGATCGGCTGCCTCGTGCACGCCCCCTGCTGGGCATCGAGCCCGCAACCCGGGCATGTGCCCTGACCGGGAATCGAACCTCAACCTCCTGGATCCCAGGTAGATGCTCAACCACTGACCCAGGCCGGGGGGCCACTCATTCACTTCTGAAGGATAACTTCATAGGGTACCGAATTAATTCTAGGTTAGTATTTTTTTTTCTTTAAACACTATAAATATTTCACTCTCTTCTTGCTTGCATGGTTTCTGAGGGAAAGTTCAGTGTCATTCTTCTTTATTTCTCTGTAGGTTAGGTGTTTTCCCCTTCTGGCTTCTTTTAGTATTTTTTTTTCATCTCTGATTTTCTGCTGTTTGAGTAGGATATGCGTAGGGGTAGCTTGGGGAGCATTTATTCTGCTTGGTGTTCTCTGAGCTTCCTGCATCTTTGGTTTTGTGTCTTGACATTACTTTGGGAAAATTTTTAGTCATTATTGCTTTAAATATTGCTTCCCTTCCTTCCTTCCTTCCTTCCTTCCTTCCTTCCTTTCTTCCTTCCTTCCTTCCTTTCTTTCTCTCTCCCTCTCCCTCTCTCTCTCTCTCTCTCTCTCTCTCTCTTTCTAGTGTCTGCATTACACATAGGTCCATTGTCAGGCTATGGCTGGGGGCCTTTTTCTTTGGATAGATGCTGTGGACAGCACCTGAGAATTTTCCCTCAGCAGCAAACACTTCTGTGCACGTATCTGTCAGATGTCGATGCCTCTGCAGCCAGGGCAAAATGCAAAGATTCGGGCACCTTGTTCTGTAAAAAGTTACTATGCGGCCTGGAGGATAGGCAGGTAGAACCACTCAAACCAACAGGCCCCTAACATCTGTGACCACGATCGCTTCTAGCCTTTGCAGCCACACTTGCCTCTCTGACCGTCCCACCTCCCTTGCCGTTCTCTCCGGATTCTCGGTCACTCTCCCTCGGCAAGAGTCCTGTGTGGCTAAAGCCTGAACCTAGGCTCATGTCCACAAGGGAAAGTGACAAGTCAAGGGTTGTTAACGTTTCTCCTCCACTGCACTATTGATTTGTGGGAAGTGAGACCTCACTTTTGGATATTTCTGGGTAGTTCTAACTTCACTAAGAAAACCTGCTTGGCCTTGAGAAACGTGTGATGGATTATTTCCTTCCAGCGTCTCTCAGGAGCTCAGGCTCACCCTGTGTCATAACAAATAACAAGAAAAATCAAGGCGCGGGATCTGTTTATGCCAACAGATCTCTCTCCTTTTCTGTAGAGCTACAGACAAGCCCATCTGTGCCATTTGCTCTCTGCTCATTGTTTTTGGTTCCGTCTCCAGCCACATTAGTGTAAGCTCTGTAGCAAATGCTATGGACCGTGGAATCTTAGGGACGGAAGCTAGAAACTTCATAGAGCACTCAGTCCAAGTCCTTGACTTTTCTTACATCATCCATGGATAGAGTTATAGCTCCAGGGCTGTTTGCCAGGAGGGTGGGCCAGAAGCATGGATTGGACTGATCGAGCCAGTGCCCCAACCTGTCGTCCAAGACAAGGGAGTAAAGGCTAGAGCTTGAAAGTCCAGTGAGATTTGAGGTGGATAACCGGGGCCGTGAGAGCTAGGAGACTGTTCTGAATTGCTGGAATAGAATTCTGCAGGCGAAGGTTAGGTTTAGAGGTAATACTAAGTCAGCTGATAAATGGAAAGTGAGGGTTACAAGGCAGATTAGAAGTTATCAGACTGAGACTACATAGAAATTATAAGCATGCGGACTTCCCCAGATTTCGGCCTGTAGGGGTTGGAGGGATTCCAGGGCTGATTAAGGAAAAAGACATGAGCGTGAGGTGGCACTTGCACACACAAGCTTTATATGGGTGATGCTCTGACGGGTGTGCGTTCGGGGAAAGTCCCTCACAATAGGAGTCCCTCCAGAGGCTACATTGTGGGGCCCCCACTCACAAGGAGAGGAGAGAAAAGGCACTCTGGGGGAAGTGAGATCAGAGGGGAGGGGGGACGCAGAGGTGACATCACTGGACAGCATGGTCGGGAGTCTCTGGGTCACAGAACTCCTAAGGGCAGCAGTGGCTTGGGAGG